CACGCCACAAGCCTTTCTCCTAGGTTCTCCTCTCGGGATTTTGGGCACACATGCACATGCGCCCAGTGTGGGTTACAAGTCACAAGGTCCAGGACTCAAACGGTGATTGACTACGTGAGAGGCTAGCAATGTAACCGTTACACCATATGCTGGTCCCTAAAGAAATATACTTTAAAAACATGGTACTGGCTATAGTTTTTTCATAGGAGAAATGTCTTCTTTTTCTTCCTGAGAGCTTTTATCATGGTGGGTTAAATGGCAAGACTTATTTGAATTTATTTGATTATCTAGTTAGCATAAGAGGGCCAGCCTGTGGTATGGTGGTTAAAGTGGACTTGAACTATAGTTGGCTATATAGTCCATCACTTTAACCACTATATCACCTCCTGATCCCTTTATTTCTGAATTTTAATCTTTTAATCCTGAAATAGATTCTGCTTGCTCATACCTATAATTGATTTTACATGTTACTGAATTCAGTCTGCTGTTGATTTATTTATTTATTTAATTTTTTTTGAGAGAGATTTTCGCTATAGGGCTCGTGTGCTCGCCAGACAGACAGAGAGAGACATTAGAGACAGAAAGTGAGAAATCCCCCTCCCCAGGTTGCATGGTCATGCTGCAATCCCTTCTCCTCCATTCTCCTCTCTGGATCTTGGGCACACACGCACACACGCCCGGCCTGAGTTTTAAGCTACCGGGTCCAGGACGCGAACCACGGTTGACTACGTGGGAGTCCAGCAACATAGCCATTACGCTAACTGCTGGTTCCCAGTCTGCTGTTTATTTTGTTGGCAGTTTTTGTGCTCTACTGCCTGTACCACAGCAGCTGGTCTGAGTTTTTATTTTTTTATATAGTCTTAAAATTTATTTGGAGTATTTAGGCCATTTATAATTAATGTAATTATTACTGTAATTGAATTTAAGTTTACCATGTTGCTATTTATTCTCTTTGTCTCCCTGCCTTTTCTATTTCCTCTTCTGTCAGCTGTTGAGTTAAGTTAGTACTGTTGTAGCATTTTGTTCTATATCTTCTTTTAGCTTTTTAGCTATATACCTTTTTTATTCTTTTTCAATGATTGCTGTATCTGTTTAAAGATGAAATATGTATCCTTAAGTGACTACACTCAACCTTGAATTAACACCCTTCACCTATAATCTAAGAACCTTTTAAACTATGTAATTCCTTTACACATATTCCTCCATCCTTTGTGCTATTGTTGTCACCTAGTTACACTACTTGTCTCTGTCATAGTACATTATTATTTAGTCATTCATCTTTTAAAGA